ATTCTATTCTATTCTATTCTATTCTATTCTATTCTATTCTATTCTATTCTATTCTATTCTATTCTATTCTATTCTATTCTAAATAGCTAGTATTCATTTTGCTGCTAGACATAATTCCCAACCTCTCACTATCTTCCTCTCCCTGCTCCTCTGAGCTGCAGATGTTCTCTCTGCCCCAAGTTCTGTCTTTTCCTGCAGCTGACAGTCTGCATGTCACCCCCCGCCACCCACCCACTTGGATCGCATGTAAGTAATAAAGATTTTTTTTTTGTGAAAATTACAGATTTTTGAGAGTCAAGATACAGGTCAACGTCCGAAGAGGTCAACATGTATGAGAGTCTGACCCAGAGTGAGAGGAGAATGAAGATGAACGACGACGTTAGACGGAAGTCTATATTTACAAGTTCTGCAGTAAATACTGTGATGTTATTGTTAAAAAAAAGTAATAGGGAATATATAAAACTGAATGGATGGAAAAATAGGACCCAATTGAAAATAAAGATATCAATGCATCACAGGGAGAGACTGAATTAAAATTTTCTTCACCCGTAGAGCTTCAAAGTTCACAACAAAATGCTTTTATTGGCTAACAAATGGGATTTTGCATATGTCTCCTTTAAAATTAGTTCAAATTGGAAATATTTTCACACAATCTGTTCACTCTTTGAGAACGGTACGTATCGGAGATGACTCACAGCTACTACCACAACAWGCTTTAGAGTAATATCTACAAAACTGACTGATCTACAGTATGGTCATTTCTGTTTTGCCTAAGGGTGATCAGCTGTGCTGGGAATCGCAAATTTGAACGATTTCAAAAGAAAATCAGTTGRAGATGAACAATCAGTGATTAGTTTATGAGAGTTTGGCTCGTGAGATATTGTGAAGCACAAGAAACAAACAAACATGCAAGCACACACATTGGCACAGGCAATTATACTGTTGGCAATAAAAGAATTTCAGTGCCATTTAACAACCAGAAGCACACCATGTTTTTGTATCTGCACATCCACAATCCCCATCTACCCCGATTCTTGTCTAAGAGTGGACTGCAGCTCTCTGACATCAGAACCTAGCTGGATTATCTCAGTTTTTCATTTCAGTGATTTAGCAGCAACAGTCACTCCGCCTTGCAGGGGCAGCAGCCTTCTTTGCATTCGACTGCATGGCAGATCAACACTGCATGCGGCACACAGACGGAGATCTGACCCAGCTACCCACTCGACTGTGTGTATATTCAAAGAGAAATACGAGCAGGGAAGAGGGGAAGGAAGGAAGGGAGGAAGAGGAGAGAAAATGTGAAAAGCCGTGATGAAGATGATAAGATGTGCAGGAGAGAAGATGGAGGACAAAGGGAGGTTGAGAGCACAGCATGAATTATCTTTTTTTAAATAAAAAGGTTGAAAATGTTTCCACGTCCTTTATATAAAATCTGCATTTTATTCTTTAGTCATAATAGAATGTCTATTGTAAATACAACTTTGAGGAATTTGTTTTGAAATCTTGTTMTTTAGCTGTTCTTGTAGATTATTAATGATTCTGAAAACATGCATTTGTTTGTAATTTTGTAATAAGATTTTTTGTCTGTTGTGTATTATTAGCGTGTTAATCTAACTTGATGTCTTTGTTACTTCTTTGTGTTTAAATCTCACAGAGACGTTTTAAGAAGAGTAGGAATGAACAACTTTGTGCTTCAAGGAAATTATAAGGGTAGAGATAACAATAAGCTCCAAAGACATAACAGAGGAGGACAGCAGAGTGTGAGTGAAGGAGAGACGGGAGGAAGACGTAAAAAAAAAAATGGAGAGATGATGACTCACACCAGTGGTGGTAAAGCTCTGATTTATTCTCTCTGTCTTTTCTGGGTCATATACTGTGGGTGTATGAGGCACTCTATTAGCACTTGTCCACTATGAGCAAAGGCTTAAGCAACTTTTAACTTCTCCACTCACAAATACTGTAAACTGTCAAACTGAGATCAAGGCGTAAATCCGAGCAGAACAGAAAACTAAAAATAACAAAACCTTGTGACCTCACATGTGAAAAAAAAAATCAAATAAAATGTTAAAATCAGACCTCAGCACATTAAAATTAAGGTCAAGRGCAGACTTACCCGATAACCACAATGACAAAGTCCAGCATGTTCCAGCCATTCCTCACATATGCATTCTGGTGCATCACCAAACCATAAGCAATAATCTTCAGGAAGGTCTCTATTGTGAAAATGATCAGGAAGGCATATTCAACTGTTTCCTGCAGACACACAAAAGAAAAACAAAAAGTTTGCAGCAATGAGGACATTTATATAACAGTGTTATACTGCATGTCAACATATTTCTTATTTTTTTTTTACATAATATTGATTAAATTAATGGTGCAGAACTTTGTACATGTTAAAATAATAGAGTAAAAATATAAAAAAAAAACGAGTAATTAAATGTCAAATTATTTAATGTGTAGTGTTGCAAAACTTGCCGAGTTCTGTGAAGAGCTCCACTTCCCTCTTATGACTCAAAGGTCAAGTTAATTAGTGATTTGAAACTGACGAGTGTGTGAGCATATTAGTACCATGATGGACTGTCCAGGTGTGTGCCCACTCTCTCAACCAACAGAAGCCGAGACTTGATTTGCAACCCAGAATAGAACGAAGCAGAAGGTAAAGCTTTCTGAAAGTGGGCTTATTTTAAAAAATTTCCATCAGCTAACTATAACGGTCAGTTAAAAACGTCATTACAAAACGGTTTTGGTCACCTGATCGAACACACAGTCACACGCTTACAGCTCARCAGGTCACCGTCATGTTTCAGAGTGAAGGAAGACCGAAGCTGCAGACAGGAGCTCAACAGAAACTTTAAGAGATCGTCTTGTCATCTTTAAAGTGGCATTCTGTCAAATAGTTAGTAGTACTTAAACCATCACATCAGTCTCAGAGAATAGAGTTTGGAGAGAAGGGCAGAAGTCTACGGCCAGGCTAGGCTAATAGTTAGCCAAACGAAGGCCAGCGTACATTTGATTTGTTTTTCAGACTCCTCAACCTACAAAACCCATGTAAAAGATCAACTCCTGTCTTCTTTTAAATTTATTATAATATACATACATTTTTTCTTCATATTGCTCCTGTAAATATAAAATGAAATGAAACTGTGGAAAAAGAAATGGTAATAATCCATGCAAAGAAAAATAAATAAATAAATAAATTAAATAAATAAATAAATAAATAATAAACTAGTTTTCAAGCCAGAGAGGAGCAGAGAGGTGAAAACACAACAAACGCAGTGAAAGAAAAGGCTTGGATAATTAGAGCTATTTGGAGGATTCTGTGTGCAGAGAGAGAAAAGACGCAGCTCAGTCATGCCGTGCTCCTTTCTCTGTTTGTTTCAGAAGCAGAGGGAAAAACAGGAACATTGAGCCATCAGGTTGAGGTCGACTGGAAGTGAAGCTGAAAGCAGAGGCACGCCAACATCCAGGCAGTGTGTGCTTTACTGCGTGAGAAACCGAGGTTGCGTAATCCAAAGGTGACTCGACATGTTCAGGTCCGTCCTGAGACCTCCCCCAGATCAGGAGACAATCATTTATTCATGAGGCAGGTCATGTTAACAATGTACAGTACAGCGGGTAAAATAAGTATTAAATAGGTCACCATTTTTCTCAGTAAATATATTACTAGAGGTGCTAATGACATGAAATTTTCACCAGATGTTGGTAACAACCCAAGTGATCCATACATACAAAGAAATCAAACCATAAATGTCCAGAAATGAAGTTATTTGTAATAATGTGGAATGGCACAGGGAAAAAGTATTGAACACACTTACTGAAATTTATCTAATACTTTGTACAAAAGCCTTTGTTGTCAACGACAGCTTCAAGATGCCTCCTGTATGGAGAAACTAGTGGTATGCATTGCTCAGGTGTGATTTTGGTCCATTCTTCCACACAAACAGTCTTCAAATCTTGAAGGTTTCGTGGACCTCTTCTATGAACTCTGATCTTTAGTTCTTTCCATAGATTTTCTGTTGGATTCAGGTCAGGTGATTGGCTGGGCCATTCCAGCAGCTTTAGTTTCTTTCTCTGAAATCAACTGAGAGTTTCCTTGGCTTTGTGTTTGGGCTCATTGTCTTGCTGAAATGTCCAGCCACGTTTCATCTTCATCATCCTGGTAGATGGAAGCAGATTTTTATCAAGAATGTCTCTGTACATTTTTCCACTCATCCTTCCTTCAATTATTTGAAGTTTGCCAGTACCATATGCTGAAAAACAGCCCCACACCATGATGTTCCCACCTCCAAACTTCACTGTTGGTATGGTGTTTTTGGGCTGATGTGCAGTGCCATTTGACCTCCAAACATGATGTGTATTCTGGCATCCAAACAGTTCAATGTTGGTCTCATCTGACCAGACTATATTCTCCCAGTATTTCACAGGCTTGTCTAAATGTTGTGCAGCAAACTTTAAAGGAGCTTCAACATGCTGTTTCTTCAGCAGTGGAGTCTTGCGTGGTGAGCGTGCATACAGGCCATGGTGGTTCAGTGCATTACTTATTGTTTTCTTTGAAACAATCYTACCTGCTAATTCCAGGTCTTTCTGAAGCTCTCCACAAGTGGTCCTTGGCTCTTGGACAACTCTTCTGATAATTCTTTTCACTCCTCTGTCAGAAATCTTGTGAGGAGCACCTGGTCATGGTCGGTTTATGGTGAAATGATGTTCTTTCCACTTCTGAATTATGGCCCCAACAGTGCTCACTGGAACCTTCAGAAGTTTAGACATTCTTCTGTAACCGATGCCATCATTATGCTTTGCAACAATAAGGTTGTGAAGGTCTTGAGAGAGCTCTTTACTTTTACCCTTCAGCAGATGTTTCTTGTGTGATACCTGGCCATCATTTGGGACTGAACCAGCTGATATTAATTTGCACTGACAAGGGGCAGGCTTGTTTTCTAATTACTTAGAGAGTTCAGCTGGTGTCTTGGCTTTCCATGCCTTTTTACACCTCCCTTTCTTCATGTGTTCAATACTTTTTCCCTGTGCCATTCCACATTATTACAAATAACTTCATTTCTGGACATTTATGTTTTGATTTCTTTGTATGTATGGATCACTTGGGTTGTTACCGACATCTGGTGAAAATTTCATGTCATTAGTACCTCTAGTAATATATTTACTGGGAAAAATGGTGACGTGTTCAATACTTATTTTACCCGCTGAATGTCCAAAAAAAAAAAAAAACTCCACTTAACCCCAGAGATGATTTTAACCTTCAACACAGGGGACGAAACACAAGCAAATACTCCCAAATATACTAAAATATAGATAATAATCTCTTGTTCCTGAGGGAGTCCTTGTGCGGACACCATGCACTATAGATGCAGGAGAACCGCAGGCTGCCAGATTCGTTTTTCTCGTCGGTTAACTGCAGATTGTGTGAAGCACTTAGCTCAGAATAAACAACATGGGCCTCTTTGTTACTGAAAGAAAAGGCTGAGTTAAGCTTAGGGCCGCTGCCTCTTTGACTGAGCGTTCTTGAGCCGCAGGGAGCAAAGATAACAGAGCGATTCATGTGAGGATGAAGGGGAAGTGACAGAGAGGCGAGTGAACAGTTTTAGAGGTATTTGTATAAAAATAAACGAAACGAACAGCTGCTGCTGTTATCTGCTGAGTGCAAAGAAAATAAAAAATATATGTTACTTAGCCAAAACAATATCATGGTATAGTCACAACAGAATATAATCTTGAAATATCACAGAAAATATATTTTTTGTGTGTCTATAGAGATGTAAAATGAAAAAGTGGAGTAAAAATATAATGCGCTGTTGGAACAATTTTAGCATTTAAAGCTACAGTCAAATGATGCAAATTGCCATCTCCTGGTTAAGAACAGCATGTTAAATGTAATTGCAGATGAAAACCATTTGTCTCTCAGTTAATGAGCAACCCAATAATTTATTAACATACTGAACTGTGAGCATCAAGTACAAATGGAAAGAAATACCAGAGGAAACAAATCGTAGAGAACAGAAAGGATCGTGAACGTCCGAGTCATCACAGTTTACGGGCGACATGGTGGAGCAGCGGTCAGAGTTGTCGCCTCTCAGTCAGAAGGTCACAGGATCACCTCCTATGCTGAGTTTTTTCTTCCCACAGACCAAACACGTGCATCTTAGGTCAGTTGCTAACTCTTCCTTATTGAGAGTGTGAATGCTTTTATTCATCCTGTTTATCTCGGTGTGTCCCTGTGTCCAAGGTGTTCCTGGCCTCTCACAGCTGGATATTAACACCAGCTGCCTGTGACCAGCAAAGGATAAAGCAGGTGAAGCAAATGATTTATTGGACTGTTGTTCATTTATGTGTTATCTCGTACCGAGTAATTTAGTTTAGGTACAGACACCGATTACTTACTGAGTTTAACAATACTTTAGTAGTTCACTTACTGAACTTAAACATTGCACAATGATTCCAAAAACACTTTTCTTTTATTTAGAAACTGGTACATATCTGATGTTTTTCAAAGCGACTTCAGTCTGAACCCTCATTTTATCTGACTTTTATGTCAGTGAGGTAATAAGAGTGATCAAAGTAATAATAATGTCACGCAGTTTAAATCCTGTAACTCCACACGTCTTCAGCTACGTCTTTTTTTTATTTTGCATGTTCTGGATGACTGAGAATCCACGGAAACTTGATAGTAACATTGGTTTCAGACCATGTCGACAATGAAGTAACTAGATTGATACATTAGATAGTTTTACTTCCAGCATGTCGCTCTCGTTCCATAAATACACGCAGCACTGGAGCAGCCAACCAGAGGTAGGTTAAAATATAAACAGTAAACTAAACAAGCATGTCAGATAATTATTTAACCCGCTCTGATTGCACAACTTCAGAAATGTAGCATCCATATTTACTTCTGTAAACAGCGAGCTGAATGTGAAGGTTGCACATCATCATCATCATCAAGTTTATTTATAAAGCACATTTAAAAACAAAAAGTTGTCACCAAGTGCTGAACACAAGGCAAAAATCAATATAAAAACAAATGACATTCTTTAAAATGTAAAAGATAAAACACCAACATATACATAACTCACAATCAATCAAAAATCTGAGAAAACAGGTGTGTTTTTAATAGAGATTTAAAAACAGGAAGTGACGAGGCCTGTCTAACATTGGGGGGTAGATTGTTCCAAAGCTTGGGAGCCACGACTGAAAAAGCTCGATCTCCCCTCAGTTTCAGCCTGGTTTTAGGAATGACCAAA